TGGGCACCCAGACCACTTCAGCTCATTGAAGTGGTCTGGGTACAGTGTCCCAGATCCCTTACCCTGCAGTGGTAATAAAACTGCAATAATTACCTTTGAGGGTTAACTGCACCTACCAAAAACAGCCACTAGAGGAACTTCCGGGTCCTTAGGCGACTTTTGGTCGCTTAACTGACGCTATGTACTCAGCTATGGTACAGTGGTGTTGGTGATCTCCCGGAGGAAAGTTGGCACGCAAGTTCTAATTCACACAGCACGATCCCATCAACAGAAAGTTCAATTTAGGACTACAAGATCACTACACCAAAGAAGGGAAAGGTCGCCTAAACGGACCTAGTGGCGTTTTATTCCTGAGCTAGGTTTATAGCTCAGGAAAATGTGAGTGGTTCTTCACACTGTTTCTATCCATCCTTTGTTATAGTAGTTTTATACTATTGAACTTTTTTTTCTTTTTTAGGCAATTCTGCCGATATCCACCAACACCACAGTACCATATTAAGTCAAGTATCTTTATTTATTGGCTTACACTTATATGTAGCGCCACACCTTTTTGTTTACTTGTATATTGGTTCAGTGTATGTGGAGAGATTGCACTTGGTGTCATAGCAGCTACTGTTCAAATATTTTGTGCACAGCACTGTACATATTTTAGTATATTTGCCTTTTAGCGCCAGTATACTTCTCTTTTTTTGTGCTGTTAGTCCTCACGCTATGCATGAGGACATCCACCGTCACCGAAACCCCATAGGAAAGCATTGTATAATGCTTTCCTATGGGGGAATGCATTCTGTGTCCCACCCACTGGCTGATGTCGGCGAGGGAGGAGCGAAGGCGGAGCCTGAACCAATGCCGAGGGACAGTGGCACTGGAATCAGATAAGTGACAGAAGGGGTTTTTTGTTTTCCTGGCACTATGGTTTCCCTTTCATTAAAAATTTTAGGATTTTTTTTAAGTCTGCTGTTATCTGTTTGGTGATCTTGTCCTACAAATTTTACTTTATTAAGAATATGTCAAAATTCACCCTATAGTCAAAAAACCATAATTGTATTAAAACTAATCTAAACAAGCTGATGAATATCTGTAACAAGGATGTTTCTTTCACTTTGGAACTAATTAACATAAAAGAGAATTGTACAGAAAAGAAAAATGAATTGTAAAACTCATGCCAAAGTAGTTGATTTGGAATAAAAGGTCACAACATTTTTATGAATTTTGCAGGTCAACTTTCAAGTCGTGTCCTTTGTGTGTTTGCACTAATTTCCATTAATGTGAGAAAATAATGAATATTCCCAAATTTCCATCCAGGGGTAGACAACCTTTGGCACTCCAAATGTGATGTGGTGGGTTACATCTCCCCGGATGCTTTGCCGGCATTATGCTTGCAAGAGCATTATGGGAGATGTAGTCTACAACATCTGGATTGCCGAAGGTTGGCTTGTTGTCGTGACGCCCAATAGATGCATGATCATGAAACACTTCTGCCTAAACTTTGCAGTTCGGCTTACAATCACCTACAGGTCAGTGTCTCATAAATAAACTCCTAAGTTGTGGTAACTTGCAAGATTTAGATCAAAATAACCGTGAGAAAAATAAAATTGCATTTTTTTTCCTCAATTTTGCAAATTGGTTCTCAAATCATTTACTCTTTAATGAAAAGGCCCCAATACTGACCCTAAATTAACACAATACAGCTCTTATTTATTCCCATAGGAGGATTTGTGAAACCTGAATACCAGTGATCTCTTAAACTATTACACCTGAAGCCACAGGTAGCGGTTAGTTTAAACACATTAATATATATGTATTTTGATTTTAATGAAAATTTCTATTTAACAGTCAGATTGGCACCCAAGGGGCATGAATGAATTTATGCTTACTCGTGAATACATACATTCCAGAAGGCAGCAGGACGATTCTACCCCCATCTCCTTCTCAACAAGGGGTGTTTGAAGTTCTGCCTCAGTGCTGTCTGACTAAATCCACGCATCGTTGCTTAGTACAAGCAGCGTGAAGTGACTTAGGCAGCTCATTTGAATAGGAATTATGTATGCGGTCTAACCTGCTCACCTGCATGCATAATAATGACTAGATTTGGGAGCATGCTTTATATTTCTAAAATTATTATTATTATTTTTTTTAAGAACGTGTAGACAGAAATTATGAAATAGCAGTATAGAGCATATAGCTATTCAGTCTAGATGTAAAGTGAGTAATATATTGTAATGACCAGAGGCACTAACTGAGTTTTTCACTAAATTGTGAATTCAAATAGAATTTCAAACTTTAGGTCAAAGTTGCTGAGCTTGATGCAGAGCCGACTCACAGAATGTTTCGAATTTAACTATTTTGGCCTAAATTAACTTTGAATTCTCACGTTAGTAAATAACCCTCTTATAGAAAATGTTTGCAACGGAAAGTTAAAATCGATTGTGGTTTTGCCTATAATATATTTTATAAGGATCTTCGGGATCAAAACAACAGTGATGTATTTTAATGTAAAAAAAGAAAATCTGTGTTTGTAAGCTGACAAGCCAACTACATTCCCATGCTGAGATGTAAAACATTCAACGTAACATTTCCTCAGCATTAGTTAAATCAAAGTAAAAGCATTATTTTTTGTAATTATTCTGTGAAATGATAGGTTCATTTCAGGTGAAGAATAAAATGTAGGCAGACCAAGTATGAACCCTATATGGGCTGACCTGTTTCTTAATTTATGACTCATCCAAAGTAAATCGAAAAATCTTTATGATAGAGTGAGTTCTGGGAATCGTACAAGGACTTGTACCTACTAACCATGCAGACTTACCAATAATGTTGATTAACCTTATTGATTGTCTGCATATGGATGGTCTTAGACATCAAAAATCACCACATTTTCGTAACAAAGTAAATATGAAAAGTAGCTAAACCCAGCGAGAACACATCTAGAACAAGGCCAGAAGTTATTTCAACAATTATTATCTGACTCATGCCATATACCGTATATACTCGAGTATAAGCCGAGTTTTTCAGCACACTTTTTGTGCTGAAAAACCCCAACTCGGCTTATACTCGAGTCACTGTCTGTATTATGGCAATTTACATTGCCATAATACAGACTGGGGGCTGGCAGAGCTGTTACTTACCTCTCCTGCAGCTCCTGTCAGCTCTCCTCCTCCTCCGCGCCGGTCCGGCAGCACCTCGGTCAGCTCCCAGTGTAAGTCTCGCGAGAGCCGCGGGGTCATAGTGCGGCTCTCGCGAGACTTACAGTGTGAGCTGAGAGAGGAGCTGCACGGACCGGCGCGGAGGAGGAGAGAGCTGACAGGAGCTGCAGGAGAGGTAAGTAACAGCTCTGCCAGCCCCCTTCCTCCCCCCACTGAACTGCCAATGCCACTGGACCACCAGGGAAGGAGAGCCCCCCTCCCTGCCATGTATCAAGCAGGGAGGGGGGACGAAAAATAAATAAATTAATAATAAATAATAAAAAATAATAATAAACAAAATAATAATATAACAAAAAATGAACTAAAAACTAAATAAAATACATAAATAATAAAAATAATAATAAAAAAATTATTAAAAAAATAATAATATAACAAAAAAAAAATGTAAATAATAATAATTTTTTTTTTATAAAAATGCCCACCCCCCACCAAGGCTCTGCAACACAAACACACACTGCATCACACACACACACACACTGCATCACACACACTGCACTCATACACACACACTGCATCACAAACACTGCACTCATACACACACACTGCATCACACACACACACACACTGCATCACACACACTGCATTCATACACACACACTGCACTCATACACACATACACTGCATTCATACACACACACTGCACTCATACACACACACTGCATTCATACACACATACACTGCATTCATACACACACACTGCATTCATACTCACATACACTGCACTCATACACACACACTGCATTCATACACACACACTGCGCACTCATATACACACTGCATTTATACACACACTGCGCACTCATACACACACACTGCATTCATCATATACACACACTGTAAATAAATATTCAATTAATATAATTTTTTAAGGATCTAATTTTATTTAGAAATTTACCAGTAGCTGCTGCATTTCCCACCCTAGTCTTATACTCGAGTCAATAAGTTTTCCCAGTTTTTTGGGGTAAAATTAGGGGCCTCGGCTTATATTCGGGTCGGCTTATACTCGAGTATATACGGTATTTCGATTCAGCATAGCAGACATGACTGGCTTCATGAAATGGAGCTGCTTGTTAGCAAAATGGAGTTTGCATTGTTGGCATAACTACCAGAACTGCAGAAACGTATTATTACATAATGATGTACATAATGATGTGAAGAGAAATGTTGTCAGAATTTCAAGATACATATAAATGCCAGACTTTATTTCCAGATCTTTATCATTCACCTGTAAAACCTTGAAGATGCTAAAGATGCTTAATGTAAATGTTTATAAATAGTTACGATAGTTATGGGGAGTTATATAGCTGTCACAGTTACTGGAAATAAGGACCTTTGAACAATGAAAATGTACACAGTATAATGAATGATGTATGTAGGTATTCCTGATTAAATGGCTATTGAGGAACCAAAATGATAAAGTGATAGTGTGCAATAGTTGCTAAAGCTACTGATCCTAATGTTTAAGATAAGATAACAAGAAAGTCACATTATATAAATATACATAAGAAAAAGAAAATTATAGAAATATTGCTTTCTCTAATACAAGGGTGCCAAAAAGGTAGATCCCCAGAAGAAGAACTACAACGCCCATGATGCTTTTCTTGCCTTTACAGTGACAAAGCATGATGGGAGCTGTAGTCTTAAAACATCAGAGGATCGAGGGGCGGAGCCAGCTGCCATACTGTCTGGATGCATAACGAGAGAGCTCCAACCCGTTCTAAAAATAAATCCCAAATACTTGCCTTTCCAGCACGGCACCTGACCGCCACGAGAGAGGAATTGTTCCCACTAACGATGGGGCAGAAAACCAAGAAATTTAAAACAGATAAAATCCCAACAACCGCTGACATCAGAGAACTCCTGAGAAGGCCGCAAGGAGCCACGAAGCCTGTCATGGCGCCTCTCTCTGATGGCCTGTCTTATTCATCCAGCGAAACATCCCTACCAGACATGGAGGAGCTGACCTCCACAGCTAGAAGACCGAGAGCTGACTTATCTGCAAAGCGGTCAGAGGGCTCACCGGTGATGGAGGGACGACCTTAGCCGTAATATAGTTGCTGATATTAACTCCTTCAAGGAGGAGATTAGTGGAGTGTCGAGGCGCCTCCACGACGCAGAGATAACCACGGCCACCCATGAGGTCCGCCTCAATAACATGGAACAAGAGCTAAGTGACATGCGGCGTGAACAGGTCCAGACTCAGAGACGCATGGCGGCAATGGAAAACCGCAGAAGGTGTAAAAATGTCAAGATAAGGGGCATACCAGAGCAGATTGGCACAGTCGAAATCCCTCACCTAGTCAGGAGACTACTCACACACCTCTTCTCAGCCAAGCAGGCCAAACTGATGGCCCTGGATGGATGCTACAGACTCCCAGCGCCTCCACCATGCTCCACCGAGATGAACAGGGATGTCATCGTCTGATTTCAAAATGGGCAGGCGTTCTTAAAAGCGTTGCGGAATAAATCACCATATGACTTTGAAGGACACACACTAATGTTTTATCCAGACCTATCCAGAGCAACAATGGACTGGCGAAGGCCCCTAAGACCGCTGACGACGAAATTGATACGACACCACATACCTTACAAGCAGGGTACCCCAAAATGTTTGCTGATACCTCAGGACTCTGGGAATCTAAAGGTCCAAGAGGCCTCGGAAATTAAAAGCACCCTACAGCAACTGGGACTGACCACAACACCAGAGGGTACATTGCCAACAACCCAAGCGACGCAACCGCAACCGCTCACCCGGAAACCAGCTAAGGTTCTCTCATTTGTGCTGGCTGCCCAACGGGGCAACTCTGCTTCGGGAGCTAACTCCTGAAGAACTCATTAGATCTCAGTAACTCTTTAACTCATAACCGTTCTAGCTCCGTTTTGCTTACAATTGTTTGTTTCACAGTTTCAATAATGTTTTACATGAATCTAGTACGAACCCTAACACTATTTCCAATATCCGCTGACACATAATTTCCTTCATCTGCTGGCTTGAGGGTTACACCTCTTAACACCCCCCCCACCTCTGACCTTACATTACTGCCAATATGTCACCCCGTGGATGCTAGTCTCTTGAACATGTAGATACACATTGACCTCCTCCCTATGAAGCCAAGAAGCATGAGACCTATGACGCCTCAAAACATCACTAACTAAACCGACCTACTCTGTCATAAGAGGCGATAGGCCAAGCAGTCAACTTGTGCAACACCCCTTACCTATCTCATGTACTTAAGCGACATACTAGCCTGCATTTCTCAATTTCCCACTATAAAATAATGTGCTATTTTTTAATTCTATGCATTTGTTTTTGCTATGTTGAAGATCAGTGTGCTTGCACCTACTGTCGTGGCAGCGCAAGTGTTGTTGTTATGCCTTGCACAACAAAATAAAGAATTTAAAAAAATAAAAAACATCAGAGAATCTACCTTTTGGTACTGCTCTAATACATCCCAGATTGAATGCTTTATTGACCTCCTTTTGCTAATGAAAAATTAGAAAAGGCATTAAAAATCCAAATATATGTAATGAAAGAATAATTAATTATCTATCTGCCTGTCTGTCATCTATCTATCTATCTATCTATCTATCTATCTATCTATCATCTATCCTGGGGTGCTATGCATCTGCATCCTTGTACACTCTGTGGCTTGATGTTTTTGCTTTAGTTAATTTTAAGTTAATTTAATGACCTAGTGGTATAGACGTAAGGCTTCAGATTTGATTAATTTTTAGACCCAGTGCTGTGACAAACATCTCTTATTAGCATATTGATACATTTTATTTTCAACTTTGGTGCTCAAAGTGTGAAAGTGAAGCCAGGTACTTAGATAAGAATAGTTCAGAGTTCACACCTGCAAGCTCAATGGCCCCAGGATGAGGCAACTAACCGAATGGCCACTTGTGGTCCTATGCAAACCTATAACTGGTCGTTAAATTGTTTACTGTAATATTGTTCTTCTGCACTTAGTTTTATGTGTAACTGCATGCGTGCCAGTATGTGTATCAGTGTTTCTGCATCTGCATGTGTTTCAGTGTTTGTATCTGTGTGTCTGTATCTGCATGTGTGGCAATGTTTGTATCTGTGTATCTGTACATCTGTATGCGTCAGTATCTGTATCTGTATATCTACATGTGTATCAGTGTGTCTGTGCAACTGTATGTGTGTCAGTATGTGTATCAAACACTGACATATACAAACACACACACACAGATGTACAGACACTCTGATATGCACGCAGATACAGACAGACATAAAGATACACATACTGACACATGCAGATACAAGCACTGCCACACATGCACAGACATACAGATACACATACACACTACACACACTCATACACACACTACATACACACTACACAGATACACACACACCGATACCCACACATCGATGCACATAGAGGTACACTCTAATCACACACTTCACACATACACACACACTACACATGGAGATACACAATACACAGAGATACACACACTACACATAGAGATACACACAGATAAACACACAGATACACACAGACACACTACACACTATACAAACATGCAGATACACAGACACTACATATACCCACACTATCACAGACACTACACACACACTCAAGCACTACACACAGAGATACACACACAGATACACACACAGATGCACAGACACTACACAGATACACAGATACACACACTACCACAGATACTACACAGGTACACACTACACAGACACCACACACACAGAGATACACACTACACACACATACACACACTGATAAACACACACAGATACTCAAACATTAAAAAATTAAGCCACCCTTCGGTTTCCTACCTTCTGCTGGCTGTGACTGGTGGTAGTTGGGGGCCTGCTCTCACGATCCGGCCCCTTTCTCGCGGCTCCCTCCTCCTGCTGCGCGGCTGTGTCAGTGAGCTGGGAGGTAGTGAGAGGCTGTCACTTCCTCCCAGCTCTCCCTGCAGATAGAAGGGGCCTGGTCACGCTGTTAAAGCGCCGCAGCGTATGACTGGGCCCCTCATTGCACATGTCCATCAGGTAGCCAAAGGGCATGGGCCACCCGATGGACCCACACACGGGTTCCCAACTGCAAAATGCCATCCCTGTCAGAGTGCCGCCTGGTGCCGTGGCTCCACAGCGGTCTATGGACAGGCCTGCCCCGAAACAGTTTGACGACTTACAATGAGGTATGCCAGGGCTTTTGGTTTTGGTGTTTGGATTATTCCTTTAATTGACATGCCATGCAGCAAAGAGAGAGCCCTGGTGCAAAAAATATTTTGGGCCCCCTATGAATCAGGGGTAGCCAAAAGGTAGATCTTTAACTCTACAACTACTGCAATGCTTTTCTTGCTGGGAGTCTACCATTAGCCCATGCCTGCATTGTTGTATTTTTGTGAAGTGGCTGCGTGTTTGAATGCAAGTTTGGTTTTGTATGTAGTATGTGTGTATGAATGTTAAAGTGCATTCATGTATAGTGTATGTTGTTTAATGCAGGTGCATATTCACATATGAACATACAATGCCACACACGCGCACACACGCGCACACACGCGCACACACACACACACACATATACAGATGAGATCTGCAATGTAAACAAATACACACACTGCCACACACACAGATGCTTACTGCCACACACAGATGTACACACAAATGCACACTCTCACACATAGGTGCACATACAAAGGTACACAGTTACACACACAGATGCACACATTGCCGCACACAGATACACGACACACAATAATACAATACATCGACTCATATACACAGAGACACACACAAAATTATACATATACACATACTGAAATAAAGAAAATGCATATTTTAGCCACACTCCCGTTTCCATAATATTTGTGTTCACAATGGTACCTTCACTGGGGTCCACCATTGTGCAGCTTACTGAGTCTCTTGTTCCTTACTTCAGTGCAGCTCTGTGTTTAGGCTTGGAGTTAATGAAATGTAATCACTTCCTCTTAGGGAGCAGCCATTGCAAAGTTGTTCCAATATATTTCTCCCCAACCACACGACATCTGTGGTCACTGATGGAGCGCTAAGTGTGAGGGTCACCTGATGGTCACCCACAAACTCATGGGCCCTGTAGCAGCTGCACTTGTTGCACTACCAGTATTACACCCCAATTATGTGCCTGGCGCGTAAAGTGTTAAATAATAATAAATAACCGTGAGAGTTGAAATTTAGCTATCTGTTCACGTGTTGAAATGTCTCACAAGTGACATTTCTGTTTTATTATATATATAAACCATGCAGTGGACTTCTCTGGTTGGCATCCAAATAAATAAACATTTTTACTGTTCTGTCACTTCACGACTTGATGGCTTTGTCACCTCTGCATAATCCAGGGAGTCACAGTTTTTATTATTCACCAACAATTTACCAAGGATATTCTTTAAGAAATTAATCCTTAAGGAAGATCATGCCTCACATGGGAATAGACAGATTTCAAAAGGTCATCAACAATCCCCGAACGACTTTCTGAGTTTTCAGTGCCAGAAAAGGGTGACACGTGGTAGAGACACACTTTTAAAGCAAAACTATTTGTTGCTACAACCCACTAAACAGCATTTCAGCATTTACTGACACGAATAATGCAGCAGAAGTAAGTAAAACAATTTACTTCTGCCGCACTTACATGTAACGACTACGTTGCTGTAGCTCCCATGATGCTTCAGGGAACTGTGCGCGTGAGCTCTGCATTTTCCGATGTACATGAGTTTATGTACCATTTATACAACATTGCAAGACTTAACACATTTACATACTTTGGGGAGCTTTGCCTGGCAAAGAATGTACATTTAAAAAACATTTTAAAAAAAATATAAAAAATTAAAACAAGATTGCACAACAAAGACTTTCAGTTAGACACTACGCTGTGCTAACAATAAAGAAGTGACAGTTTCTCTTTAAATAAGCTATAATGTCTATTTATATTTGTTAAGTGCAACAAGATACCTTGCTTTTTCTGGATGAGAATCAAGCATGTTGCAGTACCTTGAAGCCTTTACCCCCTAACTCCTCACTAACTCTAATTCTCCCCTAAATTTTAACAACTCTATTTTTAAATCTGCTCTATCCCCCTAGCTCCGAGCCCTCCAATGCTAACGCCGGCTAATATCCCAAAACTAGACTGCTTTCTCAACAATTTCCCCCCATCCTTCAGATGAAGAACTTAGTGTGCCTGACCTATATGTCTTATTTTCTAGTGAGAACGAAGTCAGGTACCAGTGAATGTTTTCTAAGACAGAGGAAGGAAGCTCAAGATAAGCGGGGCATTGAGCTGAATGTGCTGGAGGCTGTTCTGCCTAGAAATACAGGGAAGGATGATAATATTACTCCAAAAAAAGCAGTACAGATACACAAAGTGACTAGATGATGACAAGCAGTTCTACTTCTTGTCA